CGATTAATCGATTAGTAAATTAGTCATCGATTATTTTAATAATCGATTAGTCGTCGATTTATCGATTAATCGTGGCAGCCCTAGTTTACATACAGGTGTGCTTGTGTCATCACTTCCTGTTACTGCTCAATGGATATTTCAACTGTTTCATCTCCAGTGTGAATTTTATTTTTACAGTACATTATCATTGGAAAAATGCATTTATTTCTTTATCAGGAAAATTTGATGTCACAGACTATTTAAACCACTTCTAAATGATAAGGATGAATTAGTCTTCTGGGTGAAAAAAATAAATAATAAGTTTAACAAACACACTCCAGGTAAAATTAATTCAATTTATTAACTTTTAAATTACACAACAAATGAAGAACAGAATGATTAAAGTCATACCTCGCTGATTAATTGCAGGACCCAAACTGGCGATAGACAATTATTAAAGTATTTGGGAATAGCCTGCACAGTTCTTATTTCTTTCTATAAATAAGAACAGATCTTAAAAAAATAAAATTATACAAAAGATATGAAAGAGTGCAGTGAATGAACCTGATTAGCTTGACATCCTTAGTAAGAGTAAAGTTAAAATAATGTTTGAGGATCACATCTATAAASACAGTTACATCTAGTCTAAATATGTTACATAACTGTTCATTAGTGTCAGAAATGATAAAATAGCTAAATTTAAAATGATCTTTTTAACTATTTACAATTAGTTATTGAAAACATTTGAATTGCAATATATAGCATATATTTAATTCCTATACATTAGTTATTTAAGTACAGACCATCTACTATACACGTATCGTCGTTAGGGTTGGGCAATAATGGCAAAAAAATTTATCACGATTAAATGTGGTATTTAGCCAATTAATGCCCTGGAGACCCTGGACACCCTTATATCCTAGTCAAAAGACCAATTTAGTGGGAAAGATTTGCTCTTTGTAAAAATCTTTCCAAAGTGTGTCAAAATTACAGACTTCAGGCTATACATTAATGTTTAAATTGTGTTGATAGATAAATAAATTACTGAACTTTTTTTTTTATGTTCGTCATGTTTGAGGTGGAGAGGAGCATCAGGCAGACTGATTGGAGGAATCTCCAGTCAGTCTGCTTAGTGGCATTAATCGTATTAATCATCAAGTGCCAAATAATAATTGATTAATGTTTTTCTGATGATTACTTGCACACGACACAATTATGCCCAACTCTAATCGTCGTATTACAACATTCAATCGTTTCCATTCAGACCTTCATCTGTTCAGAGTCCTGGTGAAGCTGGAGCATATTTCAGTACGACACCCTGTGCAGATCAGTGTGTTGAAGACTTAACACAGAGACAAAAAAACAACCATGCACACTCTCTCACACACAAACACACACAATTTAGGTCGGCAATTCAACATGCACGTTTTGGACTGTAGTAGAAAACAAAACAATTATAGAGGAAAAACATCTAGACGAGGTTCAAGCTGGGAGCTTTCTTATTCCGAGGTATCAGTCGTGACCACTACACCGCTGTGGCATCACAACATCATTAAAAAAGGAAAGCAGCATTCATGGCAGAGCTTCTCGTCTCTTTTAAGCGATATAGGTCTTGACCTTCTGCGTTATAACTCCACAGCAGATCGGACACTTGGTGAGCGACTCGGAGCACCGCTGGCAAGTGGCCAGGTGAGCACACGGTAGGAAGACGATACAAATGTCTCTGTCCAAACATACTTTGCACTGTTTTTCTCTCTGTAGCTTCCGCAGTTTCTCCAGTGGGTCCTCAGCTGAAGAAAAGGGATACAATATGTACACATATCAGCCCCCTTGTCCAAGACGTTCTCTATACAGCAAAAACTACTTCATCTGTTTGACTAAAGGTCAGATCATCATATAGCTACCTCTCTCTTCTGTCCTTTCACTTGATGGTGAATGACACAAACRAGCCTCCAAAAGAGCTTCCATACTGGAATAACCAGAGCCGGTGTTGGTCATTTTCTCCAAGATGGTCCTCTCCACCACGCTGGGCTCAAGCCCCATCTCTATGACTCTCTGAGCCATTTCTGACTGAGGTGTCCCTGCAAGGAAGGAAAAGTGAAATATTTTAGTTTACGTCTTTATGTGCTCAATCTGAAAATTAGATTTTTTTTCATCTATTTAAGAGCAACTGCTTTAAAATATATCCATATTTACCATTTCCATTGCCTGATGATCCGTTTTGATGACTTGAAACCTGAAATAAAACAAAGTCACGTTATTTTCAAACATGCTATGAAAACCAAATGTAGCAGTTATTGCTAGACTTGAAATCACTTTATTTTTTTTAACCTAAAGAGACCAAAAATTTGAGTATTTTATTTTGTCCACACAACATAAAGTGCATTAAAAAACTGTTTAACATTATATTGTGTACAAAAGGAAAGATACCATTAAGAAAAAGCTTCATTTAGAGCAAAACCAGTAAGTTTATACACCAAAATAACAAAAGATTTTTATTTAGTTGGTAAAACTGTCAGTTAACAGTAAATCTAAAATTGACACGAAACTGAGTAGATAGACATATATTTTGTTAAACATGAAGCAAATAAATGGATGCAGAAATCTTTATTCACACTTAAAGCTCTTTTTTTGTCTTAATTTATTACAGTAGCCACATAAAAGCCCCACAATCAGAAACCAGGTTAAGCATAGTACAGACCAACAAACCTGGTTTCTCAAARTTCCTGACCTGGTTAAAGTGATCTGTGTTTTTATACATTATATATATATAAAAAACTAAAATCAGTCATAAATACATGAATATTGCTTACAGCACTTCTTTGTTGAGGTCTTTGTAGCTGGACGTTGTTGACAAACTCTCTTCCTTTTTGTTCCAATAAGAACTTGCACCTAACGAAATAAAAGTGTCCAAGTTATAGCTTCTGTACAAAGCCATTACAGCGACGTGTGTATGTAAAGTGAAGAAACGGGGAAGACTAAGCTCATATTTGCTCTTACCCTGGGTAGCATTTGGCATGTTCTTCCCAGGGGTCCTCCCCAGGCTGCCAAGCTTTCAAACCTCCACCGCAGCTGAAACACATCACCCGATCACCTGTCCCTGTGAAAATACCATTTATACACTTACATTTATAACAACAAAATAGGAAAATTGTATAATGATAATAATATTGCAGATTTAAAAACACTGCAATGTTTTTTTATTTGTTTGTTTTGTCCAAAGAGAACAATGATCCTTCAGTGTTGTACCTGTGCTGTAGAAGCCCGCTCTGGCCAGACGTTCGTGGTCAACGGGGTGCTGAATACCAGCAAAGCTGCTCAGCCTCTCTTCAAAAGTCTCCATGGAGACATGAGCATCCGTATCTTGACTACTTTCTCCCTCCTGGAGCGGTACATTGCCCACATCGTGCCCAAGGATGAAAAAGCAGCCGGGATAATGCTTGGCGTGTTCACTCCACGCCACATCTTCAGGTTCCCAACCGCTCAGTTTCCCGCCACAGCAGAAACACTGCACAAGGTCATCCCTCTCCAAGTAGTAGAAGCCAGCTTGAGCCAGGTCTCTGGGTCTCATGGGAGAGTCGAAGGGCCACGAAGTAAAACTGCGAAGGCGGGCCTCTTCACTCTTCATGTGAGGGGTCTTGGGGTAGGGGGTCTCATCAACCACGGATCCAGTTGACAGGCGGTACTCCATGTCTTCTGCAGCCTCGTTATAGATGGACCCATTGGTTAGAGGGGCGCCATTTATAGTGCCTCTGTGGCAGCACTTGAGAAATCTGCATGATGGTGAAACCTGTAGCAGGAAGAAAACATGTTCTAACCATCTAATCATTAACACATAACCAAATTTATTCTCTTTAACTTCACATATATCTACCTCCTTGTGCCTTTCTACAGGTGTGTCTCCACTGCACCAGTTGTCTACAGTCTTCTGGCAGCTGAAGCAGCAGACACGGTCCGCGTTGCCGGTGAAGTAGAAGCCGGCTCTGGCCAGTCGCTCGGGTGGAACTTGCTGAGCCAGCTTGGAGCCATGGAACGAGTTCAGGCGATTGTTCAGCCGCGAGAAGTCCATCTCCCCGTCCGACTCAAAGTGGTCATCGCTTCGGTTGTCGCACATAGTTCAACTAAGAGGTTTGCCGAGTGGATGAATGCAGTCGGCACGTTGTCTGGAGAGAAAACAGAAGAAAATAATTAAAATACTGGACCTGAAATAGTGACTCTGAGGCGATCACTGTGCCTTTAAGARAGGCAGCCAAATTGTAATCGTGTGGACGCTGAACTCRGAGCTGGCTCTTGGCATAGGCAAACTAGGCGGTCGCCTAGAGCGCCATCTGCTGGAGGGGGTGCCGAACTGCAGAAGGAAAAAAAGTATATATTTTTTTGTAATCCCTGGTTGTAACTCTGCTCAGCGCCCCTTTCAATTAGCTTTGTCTTAAAAAAAAAAACTACAGGAAAAATAAAGTACTCTACTCATAAAACAACCCCCCCCCCCTCTCTCTCTCATTTGATTGACGTTACACTGACTCATCCTGCTCCGACACTCTGATGGGGGAGGGGCTAGAAGTGACTCTCAGATAGCGGTTCGTGTTGACAAACTCAAAAACAACAAGTCTGTATTTTGTTGTCCCATACATGTCAACCTCTTCGGACGTTTACCTGTATAAAAAGCCTAAAAATATTCATAAATTTTGCAAATAATCCATACAACTAGCATCGGGCGGGGGGTAGGGGGGTGAAAGCAACCGCTGCGAAGCAGGAGGAAAGGAGAGCGGAAAAAATTCAAAACTTATTTCTACCGGCAGAACAGGTTGGAAGATGGCTATTTAATGTTATTTATTGTTTTTTTAAATCATCCTACAGATTCTGACATGTTAGATCATTTTGAAAATGAGGTTTTGAAAAAATCCGTAAAGGGCTCGACACACGGGAGGCGACGTCGCTCGCTCTCCATTCATTTCCTATGGAGCCTGTGCGGTGAGGCGACAATCGCTTGCCCTCCTCCAGCTAAGCGACCGGCGAAAATAGTGCATGTGAAATTTCACGCTCGTACACGTAGACGTGCACACGCGAGCTTGCGACACGACATATGAAAGTTGAAAAATGTTCAACTTTTGTCGCTGTCACTTAGCGTACAACCAATCAGCGAGGGTTTCATTGACTGACCAATGAGAGGAGAGTATGCTACACACTGCMGTTAGCTAACACTTTCACCAAGTGATTACTAAAAAGCTTTGTGGGAATTTATTGGCACCAGGGTGAAGTTTATGGTAAGTTTTTCCTCATAAAACTGTATCTTGATGTGTGTTTGTTTTTCAATATCATTGGCATCGCAAGATTTGTTTAGTTTACACGTCCGTAAAGCATACCGCCTTCAGAGTCAAGAACCAATCAAATTTTGTGAAGACAAGCGATCTGAGAGCGCGATTCGCAACGTTGTGATCGCTATCGCGTCCCGTGTGTCGGGTTTCACCCTGGCTGTGATGACGGCCGTTAATCGCTGCCCGTGTGTCGAGCCCTTAAGACTTGAAAAAAATCTGTGAGATTGCTCTATCTGTCCGTATACCTGCAAAATGATGTAAACTCATTATAACTTAYGGACAGTTTGTACAAGTTGACATGTATGTTGCTATTTATTTGCCTTCTGGGACAGCAWATAAATCTAAGTTTACATAGTACCTTACACTGTCAAACTTGTTTTTAGGGGGGTTCAAATTGGGGTGGGTGCCTTTAACTCGCCTAGGGCACCAAAATGGCTAGAGCCAGCACTGGCTGAACTATTCCACAGAGGGTTGGGCACAGGAAGGGAAGTGCTAAGGGTGTGACCTGACAYGTTATTCCAAAGCACAACTAATAAACACAGCTCAGCTCAGAACAGTGAAGAAATAAAGGCCTGTTGCGTAGAGATGAACACTGTAAGAAGAGGCGCAGCATTAATCAAAGGTACATGTTGTATTTGTGTATCAGGGACAGATGACTCATGAGGAAAAACACCACAAACATTCCTAGCTGGTGCATTTCTGTTGCATGTGAAAGTGTTTTCTCAGAAACTAGACACTCAGACCCTGTCTTTGTGAGAAACCACCGYAATGAAAGCGATTCTGAAAGTGCAACACACTGATCAAGAGAGCTGTGTTTACAAGTTCGTTGACTTTACTCAAGCCTCGTGATCTTTGCACCAAATCCGTTTCCCCAACACGTCTTGGGTTTTCCCCTTAATCATTAACTCGCGCTTTTATTTTCCCTGCAGTTTTCTGATGCACCCACAGCTTGACTCAGTGTTTTTCACCCCCAACAACGTGACAGCAAATGCATGCACTGATGACAGTTAAAACTGAGCCAAGAGGATACAGCTCTGTTCCGACATTAAAGGACTGCTGAAGGACACGTTTGAAGAGTTTGTAACTTATAAGCAATAAAAAATATAATAGCTTCAAATACGTTAAACTTGTGTATTGTAAAATTAGTAGGGTTATATTTTAAAGGTCGCTCCTACTTTTTTTACGTTCATGACTGAAAACTGGGAAAACCCGAATGTTTGCTAGCTGCGTTAGCTTCCTAGCTAGGTTGCGCAGTTACTTCATCGGATAACGTTGCGCACTTTTTAGTATTTACCTTTCTTTGGACGCCTTACGGACAGGTCTTCGGGTTGTAGTTTTGTCCGTCCTCGATGTGAACACCCCCCACCAGAGAGGAACACAATAGTTAGGGGGCAAGGGTTTTATGTACGCCGTTTTCAGGAAGTGGAAGCAAAAGGTACTAGCGTTGCGTCCCCTGAGTGGAATGTGGTGACGTCATGAAAGCAGTGGGCGTTTCCCATTTCCCATATCAATCACTTACAGGCCAGGGTTGTTCTAGCAGAGCCGAGAAAAAAACCCCATAATTTAGGTTTGACAATCAATCCTTCAAATATATTGATATCTACAATGGCACTCAATGCTGAGGTAGTGTAGATATTTAAAATAGTTTCTACAAGGAAAACCTGTTCTTTTAAAATGTTTACAATGCTCATTATAAGAGTGTGCCTCTGCAGCTGAATACCCAATTTACATAAATAAGAAGAGTAACATTATTCTAAATATAAAGATGTTTGAGATAAATTAGGTGTTGAAAGAAAGAATGCCTTGTGGAAAACTTAAATGTTTTTAGGAAAAACTTCATCATGACCATCTGCATAATTCAACTATTATCTGCTAAAATGACCATTTAAATTTTTAGTAATTAGTAGCCTACAATTAGAATTGTATATCTTAATCT